AAGAGCGTGACACACTTGGCAAAGGACAATTTCATCTGGCCTGATGGAAGAGTAAACAGTAATTTATATACCTATGTACTTTAGATAAGGTCTAAAACTATAAATTATAATCCTTATGCTGCTATACAGCAATCACGGTATAATCAAATCAATCACAGTGTAATCAAACCCTTTTGAACTTAACAAATGGTCAATTATAAAGCTAAATACAAAAGCAGAGGGCAGAGGAATTGGAGGCAATTGTAGTTCACAGCATAAATATACATTTGAGAAAGATCCTACATACAGGAATCTGAAAAGCTGCCTAATACTTTCCTCTTAAGGATCACACCTTTTGTTTTCATACAGCCTTTGCTGACTAGGCTCTCGTGTTTGCTGCAGCTCTAGACTACAGCCTGACACACAGCCTCTTCCTTTTTGCAGTGTTTATCCACCAATCAGAAAACTTCTCTCCCATGAACATCAGAAAAGAACATAAAAATCCTATTTTTTTCAGCTGTTTAGTGCAGAACATGAAAAGTTAGCAGGATTCATCTGTGTTCTCCCCCAATATTACGTGCCAGCTGTTCAAAGGCTTCATTAAGGCCAAACGAAATCATGAGATGTCTGTAGATTCTCAATCAGGTCCTGTATTTTCTTGCTGTATTTTACCAATACTACTTACTTAAGGCCAGGCAAATCTCTGACACTTGCTGCTATTTCCTCAGCTTCTGGATATAATTTCTCCACAAGTTCCAGAGGACCCCAGATGGTTTTATTGTAACTTAAAAAGGATTTTCTTACTAGGAAAAGAAAAATTAAGTAACTGAATTAATTTGAAATACTGGAGTAGCTTCCTTCAAAATACCTGGTGTGATGAAAGGGTTAACTGCTGTGCCTAGACTTCCAGATAACTACAACACTGGTCCTCACCAGTATCCAAAGCCACCTTCTGAATTACTTTACTGTGAACATTAAATTTGTTACGCTAGAACAGAACAACACAACAAGGATGACTAGCTAAAAATATAAGCTACACACATACATGTAGTTGTGAAAATTCCTGGACCACGTACAACAAATGGCATACAAAAGAAAACGCTGGTAAACGTGGAAATACATGTTGTGAAGTATTAATAATAACACTATTCGTTACTAAAGGTGACAATTTTCTTCACATATTTTCTTCACTTCTTAAAGCAACATAACACACTCTGATTTATCACATTCAAGAAAGAAAGGAAGAAAAACGGCATGTTTGGGATGAGAAATACGCAGCTAGAGCAATCACCGCACCTTTCAGGCCGTGCTTCAGGCAGTGCTCCATGACAACAAAGAACTGCTGCAAAGGTGGGTAGTCAGAATCCAGAGTGCGGCCAAAGCTCAAGGCTGATTCAATGAGTCCTTTGATACTCAATTTTGCCATGTTCAGTAAATTCGCTCTTTCTACGGCCGTAGGGTCCTTTACAGCTAAGAAAACAAAGGAAAAACAACTTGTTACGGTTCAAGTTTTAGAAGATGCAAAATAATAAAATGCTTCGTGGCTACCTTGTTCAATAAAAAATTTATCTTGATCTAGATAAACTCAAATGAATAATTTAGTAAGTGCTATAAACTACCACGTTACAAAAAAAAATCCACTCCAACAAACACCCTTGCAGATCCCACATTGTTTTAGTAGGGGAATGAAAAAATGAGGCCAGAAATAGCAGTTCTCAGGTGCTGTGTTGTCTCAGTGTCTCGGAAGCAGTCAGTAACTGCAGATTAGCACAGGCATCAAGGCTGCACTCAAAAGCTCTGCTGCATAACAGCAATCACTGCACTTACCATAACACCAAAGCAGCATTCCTATTAATGTAAGTACCTATTTAGCGTATTATAGTCTACCTACAGAAACAGACATCATACTTCTTGTATGTAATCACATTCCACCCTAGTTTTAATTTCACAGTGACAGAAACACATGCTTTCCTTCTTAGGCTGTATATAGTCTCAGTCAGTAAACCAGCAGCAGTTTCAGGAAAATATTACATACTGAAATTCCAGTTCCTTATATAGCTACAAAAGAGTTCTTGCACAGTACAGCTTAAGAACTAAAGGCTTTAACTTTAAAATGGTTTTGGTAAACTGTGCAAAATGTACCCTACAGAAATACATCTGGGCATTAAAACTAGTCAGTAAAAAAACCCAAAGCCATAGCTTTTTAAAATCACCTTAATCTGACAGAACAGACAAGGTTCTTCTTAGAGCTTCTGCTACTGAAAAAAAGTGTGCTTGGGAGATTCTTTTATTTCCCTTTGTAATGAAGCAGTTCAACTATTCAGGCCATGCTCTATTTTGCCAAACTGAAATAGAAACAAAACAACTCTCTATTAACCATTATCAAAGCAGCTCGGAAAGAAGTAAAAAAAGTAAATGATTTACTGTATTCTGCAATTAAACCCAACACATGAAGTAAAAAAAACAAACAAATGAAGAACACAGACCATTTTTTTAAGCCATTGAGACACAGATATCAAAGTACCTACACAGATTTGTGACTGAGAAAAAATGTGAACCCCTTCCTCCGCAAATTTGATTATTGATATATGCGCATCAGAGAGCATAAAGAACCATATATATTAAAATTAAACCCCCAAAAAACCCCAAATCATTGTAACGGATGCTTTCTCAGATCCTCAAACAGCAGTTAAATTACTTGTCTGATTTCTTGCATACCACAGCTTTAGGTATTCAGATATTAGAAACTTAGAAAATTACTTTCTAATTTTCTATATTCCTACCTACCTGTCAAAGACCAGATTACCATACTACATAACCTCTCTTGGTGTTCTAGGAAAAAGAAACGACTGAGATGACGTACCCAAGCTAACCTTAAAAACTACTTTTATAGTCTCTCAGCTTGCCAGTACCTCAACAGAAAACACTGAAAGATGTTACAAGACACAGCAGACAATTAGCAACAGGGCTCTGGCAAAAATTCACCCAGTCAGCAGTCACAGCTCACTAGTTTTGTCTCTTGCTTTCCTGTCTGCTCAGCTGCCGGGGACTGAGCCAACCCTCCCAAGAGCAGCACCAGTACCCCTGTCTGGAGCAGATGGAGGCTTGCAACACCACGAGTGTTTCTGTTGGTAAAGCTCATGTCAGGCTTCCTGCTCTCTTATTAGGTTTGCTATTGACAGGACTAAAGATGAATGTTATTGTAGGAAAAAACCTTGTTCCATTCAGACTTCAGGTGGAGTGCTCTCCCTCGCCACGTATTCAAGGTTATTCTACTAAGGGCATCTTACAAATTCCTTTTTCAGGTGACCTCATTTTGACTTTTGGAGCTGATCCTCACCACAAACAGGCTTCCACATCTACCCTCTTTTTAATTGTCAGCCCTCTTGCCTGGTCTTTCTGAGGCAGAAACACATTTTAGGTTTGTTTTACAGCGTGGACTACCTGCATACACCTATTTTTCCTTTATCTGCTTCTTAAAAAAAGGTAAAGATTTAAAATTTCACATGGTATGTTTAGAAAACACGTTTAATAACTGCTGCTTAAGAGTTGTATGGGGCAGAGTGTACACCTATGGTGCAGAATGAGCTGTAAAGGGTTCTTCTCACTCCACAGCAGCAGCCCCCGAAGGGACTATTTGCAGGTGACACTGATGCCGCCAGCCTCACCAGAGTCTGACTAGCAAGGCTTGGCCCAAGAGACAATATTCTTCTCCTGGTTTGGATGAGCAACCAAACCCTTACTGCAAACAGTATTTGCTCAAAGCAAACCAAGCACGTAGTCGCCACGGCCACAGGCTGAGCAAGGTCTCCCTGTCACCCTGCAGCTAGCAGAAGCCAAGTATTTTCGACCAACGAAGTGCGCTCGCCTGCATAACCCCCTCAGCATTCCCAAAGCGCGGTCCCCCGGCGCACCACCTGGTTTCCATGACCGCCGGCCGCACCTCCCAGCGACAGGGAGG